GGGGCTGAATAATTTTGCACGCCCAATTTTTCAGTTTTTTATTTGTTAAAAAAGTTTGAAATATCCAATAAATTTTGTTCCACTTCATGATTGTGTCCCACTTGTTGATTCTTCACAAAAAATTACAGTTTTATATCTTTATGTTTGAAGCCTGAAATGTGGCAAAAGGTCGCAAAGCTCAAGGGGGCCGAATACTTTCGCAAGGCACTGTATACTGCTCATTAGGTTCCTATAGTGTAAATGCAACATATGTAATCCACACTAATTACTTATTATTCATTTAATATTTTTTATTTAAAATCATTTCTTCTGTGTTTAAATAGTGGTGCTATGATGGCAACGTGACAGGACGGGAGTCGCTGAGTCAGCTTCAACAGAAGCCATGGAAGGGTTTCAGCAAACTGCTACAGAGCAGCACAACAGGGTGAATGGCTGCTGCAAACCCAAGTCTCCACACAACACGTATGATGAGTCTGGAGGTTCAGACAGCTGTGGGGGGGCAAGTGTGTCAGATCTGACAGACCTGCAAGAGTTGAAGACCAGGGAAAGTGAGGATGAGGAGGAGAAGGAGGTGGAGCCTGACTCTGTAGGCCTGAAAGGGGACCAGAAGAACAAAAAGAGTCTGGATCAGGAGGAGAACATTCACAGCACACAGAACAGCAGTGCAGCACTCAGCTATACAGGTAAGACTTTAGGGCTTTCTCAATAGAAAGTACGCTACATTCAGACTTCAAACACATGAGGACGGGAGGATGCAGTACACACATCTCATTCAGAGCAGATTATTCTGTCAGCAACAGTTACTCACATTTTCGAAAACGTCATAGATTTTAAATATAAATGGTTACTTTATTAAGTGAAAAAATTATATAGGCTAAAAACTTAATAAAGTAGCATAATATATGATGGAGGATTAGGGCCACATTAAGGGGAAAAAAGAAGGGAGGAATGTTTTTTTTTGTTTTGCATGTCGAGAATAAAGTTGAAATAAAATCAAACTAACATTTTGACTTCTGGGAAATGGTATATTGACTTTATTTTTGACATTTACACTTTATTCTTGACATAATAAATAAAAAAAATCCTAAATTTTTTCCTTCATCTGGCCCTAATACTGCCGTACATAATACCAGTCCTAGAATGAAAATGATAACAGCGTTGAGCCTGTTTCAAAATGTCTGCCATCACTGCTAGATGGTGTGCAGCGCATGCTGGGATATTTGGATGCCCAAAGTCGACACAAGTCAGCCCCCAAAGCATCCTTGATAAAAATGGGCAGGGCAAGAACACTTAAGATTATTTGATCTGTACTTGGCTGGATGCAGACTTTAGGCTGGAACAATACTTGGGCTGGGACTGATGTAACGGCGTTTGACAAGTCAGCAGGAGCACAAGTACAGAGAAGTACATATATCAAGAAAAGCCCTTATACTTCAAAATCCTTGCTTACCTGAATTTCTCTCTGGATCAATAATCTATCTATTGATCTATTTATGGGTCTTCTGGAAAACTGAGTATGAAGGATTTAGATGACAGATAATTCTTGACCCTCAATAATGATACATTTTTTTCATACAGACCTGTCCCATACCTCATCTCCCTCACTGTCAGAACAGCTGCGTCTTGGCCGAGAAGACAGCACAGGGTCTGGCATCAGTGTGGAGTGTAAGGTCTGTGGGGACAAGGCCTCTGGCTTCCACTATGGTGTGCATGCCTGTGAAGGCTGCAAGGTAACACAGTTTGTCACGTCAGAAAAGCTTAGAAAGATTTTTAAGCTTGATAACTGTGGTATTGTTTTGTCCGATATGACTTGTTGAACCGTTGGTTTGTTTCTTTCTTAGGGCTTTTTCCGGCGAACTGTGCGAATGAAACTGGAGTATGAGCGTTGTGAGCGTTCTTGCAAGATTCAGAAGAAGAATCGTAACAAGTGCCAATATTGTCGTTTCCAGAAGTGCCTCTCTTTGGGAATGTCTCATGATGGTGAGAGGGAAATTATTTTAGTAAATACACTTCATAAATGAGATCATTTTCATTAAAAAAGAAATGTAATTATTACAAATGCAAGACTTGGAAGAAAAGGTAATTTAATGACTAGGGTTGGGCTCAGAAGAGTTGGCACCAGGTCTGCTCATTTGTTTGAAATCCTCTGAGGTCACAGGGAAGTCACAAGGTTTCAATAAACATTTTGACTGAAAAATCAGGATTTTTATTTATTTATTTATTTTTTTTTACTTGAAACCAAAATCAAAACTTAGGTGTCAGCACCAAACCCTGGTATTGACAGATTGATTTACTCTTGGAATACCCATTTAAAATAAAACCGGTATGTGTGTGTATGTTTGTTCAGCTATCCGATATGGACGTATGCCTGAGGCAGAGAGGAAGAAGCTGGTGGCAAGCCTGCTCGCAGAACCGAACCATGGAAAACCAGGTGGCTCGGACCTCAAGTCCTTGGCCAAACAAGTCAACATAGCCTACCTGAAGAACCTCAGTATGACCAAGAAGAGGGCCCGCAGCATCCTGATGGGCAAAACCAGCAGCACTGCGGTATGTTCTAATCGTAGAACAGCCCATCTATGTAAACATACTGACATCTCAGTTAGACCTGACCGTTATAGGGTCTCAGGAATATATTGTTACATCTATTGTCTGGGAGCTGCTGCTCTGATCCTTAACTGATGTTTGATCAAAATACTACAGTATTTGTTTTAGGGCTGCCCCTCTAATAGTCGAGTCATTAGTTGAGAAACTTGTTAGTCGACTGAGACTCTTCTAGTCAAGCTTTTCCCCAGATCTGTAAAAAATTGAGGTGCATTAAAAAGTAACCACCTGGAAGAGCGATAACTGCCAGAGCAAAGACAGAAAAAGGTGCAAAGATAAGCTATACATTTACCCAGTATCACTTTATAGATAAAAATATACCAGTGCTGTTGTCTACAAAGGGTCAGTGATGTCCATCCCACTAACTCATAAAGAATGTAGTGGTGAGTAAGAGACTTTCACTTCATTTTGTTCAGGACCACCACTACATTTGTAATGAAACGCAAGAATGTGTGGTACACTGAATCAAGGCTTCGTAAAACAGAGGTGGCTGCATGCATATATAATACAGTATCTCGCTTTTGTCAATCACAGGTTAAAAAAAAAAAAAAAAGAGTAGTTTCCACAATTTTTTTTTTAGCACCGTAAGTAAAACAAGATTTATTTCTAAAATAAAAGCAATCATAACCTTAAGCTTCCTAACTAGATTAGCAATATGTACATTGAATAAAAGCTTATCATCTATCCATCGTCTAACATCTAACCACAAAGTATGTAGTTTATATATTCCATTCCTATGTTTTTCTCTAGATCTACTCTTTAGTTACAGGTAGTTATTCAAGACAAATGTATTTTTGTCCTCCTGTTAGCCATTTGTGATTTACGATGTGGACACGCTCTGGAAAGCAGAAAGTGGTGTGGTATGGAGCCAGTTAACTCCAGGTGCGCCCTTGACCAAGGAGATTGGGGTCCATGTGTTCTACCGCTGCCAGTGCACTACGGTGGAGACTGTGCGAGAGCTCACCGAGTTTGCCAAGTGCATTCCAGGGTTTGTAGACCTCTTCCTTAATGACCAGGTCAGTGACCATCTCCTCAGTGAGCTGTACAGTAGCCTGATTTGTATGTGGCTGTTTAGGAAGGCACTAAGGACCATTTTATGTATGCTGACTTGCAGGTTACTTTGCTGAAGTATGGTGTGCATGAGGCTATTTTTGCCATGCTGCCATCGCTCATGAATAAAGATGGACTGCTGGTGGCCAATGGTAAAGGCTTTGTGACCAGAGAGTTCCTGCGCAGCTTAAGAAAGCCCTTTGGTGAGATCATGGAACCCAAGTTTGAGTTTGCTGTCAAGTTTAATGCTCTGGAACTGGATGACAGCGACCTGGCCCTGTTTGTTGCTGCAATTATTCTCTGTGGAGGTGAGAGTTGAAGGGTTAAGTGTGAAGAATGTCACATTTTGCTTGTTATGTTCAGGGTACTGCTGCTCTTAAAAGTTTTAAATAGCACTACAGACTTTAGCTGGTATAAAAAAAAAAAAAACTCCACTGTTATCTTTTTTTTCCCCAAAGGTCCTACATATTTGATTGTGTTTGCCAAAGACAGTAATGTCAGTTATAAAATGTTTTCGAATCTGGTTGCTGAAACAAATCTCACTCCTGTAAACCAAGAGTTAGACTGTGCATACAAGAGGCTGCCCTTTTTTGGGAAATACAAACCCCTTTCAGACATGGTAGCTGTGAATTTGTGGGCTATATGTACTGTAGCCCTGTAGCACTTGCTTTTCTGGCATTCAGACATAGAGCTGCTGTGCAAAGTATTCCCAACAAAGCCTTGTTGAAACATAGCAAGACCTATCCGGCTACAGGCACAACCTTCATGCAATTTCCAACATCATGCAAGCCACACACAAAGCAATACTGTTTACTCTTTATCTTTTCTTCCTCTGCAGGGAGGGTGAACAGCTCTCTGATTTCCATGTCAGACCGATTTCCAGCCATTCAGCATTAGCTCATGCTGCTAAACCATATCTTCTTTGTACCAAATCTAAATAGACTTTGTACAAGCTAGTGATGTTGCGTTCTTTTTTATTTTTATGCCCAAATTTCACTGCCTACCCAAAATATACGCAACTAAGACAGAGTGGTCACGTGAGCTAGAGAATTAATGAAGAAAGGGAGCTGCGTTAGTGAGAACAAAGCAGTGAAAGAGAGAAAATGTTGTGCATTGTGTTTGCAATTTGACCACTTCAATTCAGACATATAGCTGGTAAGAACATAGCCGACTAGGCCCTAACAGGTAAAATTGATTGGTATGACTATGAAACAGGTATCAAGTTGCATTCTATGTGGTATTAAAAACATTTTTAAAAATCTTAAATTTAGCTTGGTGTGAACCCTGCTGAAAATGTGACTCATAAGCTGTCCCTTGGTGTCTTCTTGCTCTCCCAGATCGTCCCGGGTTAATGAACGTGAAGCAGGTGGAGCAGAGTCAGGACAACATCCTCCAGGCCCTGGACCTCCACCTGCAAGCAAACCACTCTGACTCCATCTGCCTCTTCCCAAAGCTGCTGCAGAAGATGGCTGACCTCCGTCAGCTGGTTACTGAGAACGCTCAGCTTGTCCAAAAGATAAAAAAAACGGAGTCTGAGACTTCACTCCACCCTCTACTACAGGAGATCTATAAAGACATGTATTAGTATTCTCCAGCTCAGACTGCTTTTAGCAATACTGTTACAAACTGAAGTTACATTTATAATAAAGACACTGCATTCAGTACAAGCACTGTTCCACATTTGGGCATGGATTTTAGCATGCAGATGAGGCAAAGTTACATGGTAGGGCTAACACAATCAGCAGTGTCTTCACAATGTCAGCATTAACTTCTGCACAGTAGTGTGTGTGTGTGTGTGTGTGTGTGTGTGTGCGCGTGTGTGTGTATGTATTTAGATGAGAAGAGCATCTGGAATCATTTGCTGCAGACCCAAGTTTCCCACAATGATCACTTAACAGAGAGAATGATATGTTTTCTCACCAAGGCTGCTTCTATTTTATCCAAATAGTAAAACTGACCCCAGAGCAGTGTCAAAAGAGCGCTTCTCCTCACTCAACCTGCTTGTTTTGCTGTAAAGAAAAAGTGTTTCATGTTCTTATATCAATGGAACAAGTGAAAACAAAAAAGAGTTGTCAGTTTGTGCTTGGCAAGAGTTTCTGTAGATGCCAGAGTCTTGCCTAGAGTGATTGTTCTCAGACTTGGTGAAGATGCACAAATAGGTTTTTGTTTATATCCTCATCATCAATGGCCACTGTCTTAGACATTTGGTTTATAGAACACAAACTGGGCTGGCTCCAACAGTGTAGAGCTCTTTGTGCAATACCATTTCCACTTGTCAAATGTGGATATCCATGCTTTTTAGGTTTTGTCTTAAAGCCATGAATCCAAGTGGTAACTCTGGACTCAGATGCTGACACAATGAACACATGACCTGTTGAAATACAAGGGACAGCATGCTTTTCTTTCTTTCTTTTTTTTTTGTTTGTTTGACATGGAAATTATCTTTGAACTTGACATTTAAAGGTTTTTCTTAGTTTATTCTTTGTAATTATGTTACTAATTATTTGTAATTGTTGGTCATAGTTGAAATGGCAAAACATGCATTCTCACCATGTTTTATGTATAAAGTATGTGTTCTTTTGTATGACATGATTGCCTGTTGAGGTTGTACCAAATATATCATCAAGCATACCAACAAACTTTTCCTTAATGAGGAATTTGGATCAATGCCTTAGCAGGATTTACCTGAAACCAGCATACTGATAAGAAATCAACATCCTGCAGTAATCATTTCTGTAGTCACCCAAGATATAACCACAGTCCTAAATTACTGCCCAATTTGTGTACAGTCTGATTTGTTTTGAAAGGTACAGAGTGTAACAGCCTTACAATACTGTAGCCAGAACTCATACGTTTCCTAAGTGTTTATATCCATATTCTGTAGGGTGTTTGTTTTTATCTGTACTTATTCTGAATGGACTTCAGTATGTCAGTAATGGTGCACAAGTCCACCGTCAGAAGTCTCCTCTTGTGCTCTTATTCTGTCTTGATCCCTATCTACCTCTAATGTATAATCTGTGACATTATTCCATTGTCATCTAATCGCTGACATTTTATTTGCCTTGATTCCTGTTTTTGATATACATTGCAAATTTGATATTATTAGCTGATGTGTGGTGTGCCAAGCTAGCAAAGGGTGTGGATGGATAAAATGAGAAAGCATACCAAAAAAAGTTGATGTAAGCTACCTCTATGCCTGTGTAAGTGATGGAATGACACACAAAAACTCATGTGATGACTTGAAATAATTTCATCCTTATAGTCATATGTAACCTATCTGCAGATATAGTTTAGTGACATCTCGCTTATAAACTTTATTAGAAATGTTAATGATTTTTCTCCATTTTTCATTATGAGGAAGATTATATGTGCCTGCACCATGAATTACTGAATTGGCCTACAGGTAAAGGCCCAGGGGTCCTAGGGGTTTTGGGGGGCTTCGCTTAGATCACAGAACTGTAAAGGCATTAACATTTCCACTGCACCATTAATCAAATGACAACAAAATTACAATGAATTAGGAAAAAATGTATGCGCAATAACTACAAGGAGATACAAAGCCACTAAAAGAGACACAATAATTAAAACAAGACGGAAAAAAGCGCCAAATACACTATTTAACTATAAATATGCAGAATGACAAAAAAAGACAATGACTACAGAGATACAAAGATAAATATTAACACGAGGAAGATAAAAACAGACCCAAAACAAAGGGCCAGATTGACTGCGAATCACGTGGTTGTTCCCAGACGAGTAGTAGAGGCTGGGGGAGGCTGGGGGTCCTTTTACGTGTCTGCACATGGCCCCATTGTCTCGTACTCCATCCATGGCCTGCACATATTTATATACATGCTTGCAGTTTTATCAGCTTTCCCCCCACTTGTTAAAGTACTTCCCGGGGTGATTTCTATAAGTTATTAAAATCTGAGTTTTCACGCAAACGGGTGGATAAATGAAAGTCGTTACGTTACGTCCAACCGCAGACGTCACGTTTCTAATGATTGGCTGCTACGTTAATTGGTAAAACCAACCGGCTGTTAACTATTTAGGTAGTAGGATGGCGAGCACTCGGCGGCATGCTCATAACACCCGGAGGATGAACCCTGACCGCAGTGGATCTGTCTGTAGGTGAGCGGTACCTGGTTTATTTAACGCTAAGATAGCGGACAACAAAAAGTAGGAGGGTAGGAGCTGTGGTACCGAGAAACATCTCGACGTGTTTGTCGTGTTACTTTCAAATATGGTAGTGTTGCGTTCGAATACAGGCCTAATGTTGCAAAAGCGACTTTTACAATCTAAAAATAGCAAGTTGTTGGAATTAAAATATCGCAAAGTTGACTTTAAGTTGTCTTATAAAGTTGGCTTGGCGAGATACGAGTGGGTGTGTATCTTGCACGGACTGGTGGTGAAATATTGTCATCTGAGTTCAGTGTCAGTTACCACACTTAAAGTGAAACTCACTAGCGTTATACTGTAGAAAAGGTTAAATAAAATGGTGATCCACTAACTAGCCAAGGTAGTCATTGGTGGCAAGTTTTTGATTTGCGACTGCACATAACAGCAGAGCACTTGTGCTTATGTACAGTCTGCAGGACGTTTTTAGCAGTTATATCATAAATGTTTACAAGGGTTCCCACAAAAGGGAGCATTTCCTATGCCTTGTTTTCACATTATTGTAAACTGAAGTCTAAAAATAAGTGGTTCATTAATGGAAAATGAAGATAAACAGCCCTAGGCTCTTTTAAGTTACAATTGAGACATCAGATAGACCTCTATCTTGGTTTGGTTACTAAAATGTGCCTCAAAAGACAGAAAACAACTCTGCTTATAATGCTACATGTTAAAATGTAATGCCCTCTTTTCATTACAGGCATTTCTTAAATGGGTATTGCAGATTTGGTCCATTGTGTAATTATCGACATGAATGGCCAACCTCTCCCCAAGTATGTAGGTACTATCAGAAAGGTGGATGCTGGTATGGTGACCACTGCAGGTTAGCTAACTTTTCTTGGTTGCATGTGCTGGTAATGAAATAATGTGATAAACTTAATTAGTGCATTATTTTCCACTTCAGGTATCGCCATGTCCTTCAGCCTGAAACTGATGCAGGGGTTGCAGATAGAAGACGTTCAGTACCGATCGTCTCCTCTAGTGTGGCTCGTGCTCCACCTAGCAGAAGAGGGTCAGAGCCTGCTCTTCTGCAGGCCGAGCTAATGTCCAGGCAAGAATGCAGATCAGAGTCGATGGTCAACATTTCAGCTCTGCAAGACATTAGCCGCCCAGCAGCAGATGAGAGGCAGTCACAAGGTATTGGATGCTTTAGTTAGGAACTTTGTCTAGGCTATGGAAAATGATGTTCATGGATGAAACCGACATTGGTCAGTGTTTCTCCATAACTTGCTTAACTTTTTCTTTGCAGATACTGACTCTGATATAACTGCTTCTCAGGAATCAGTCCAGAGCTCAGATGTTGCTCAAGCAGGTGCATGTAATGGAAGAAATGAGCAGGTTTGCATGTAATTTGGTGTGCTAAGTGTGCTCGTTCTTCTGGGCATACTGTAGGTGTGAGCTAAAATTTAAACGTGGGGCTTTTACTCACTGCAAAGTTTCTCTGTTCAGAATATCACTTCAGCTGAGACCACAGAGGATGGGGCTGGTGCTGCTGCAACCTCCAGTGCCCAGAGGGACGTAGAAGAAATGGAGGCCTTCCTCCAGAGTAAAGATGTGATCTGTGGTGTCTGCATGGACAAGGTGTACGAGAAGATGGATCCAAAGAACAGAGTTTTTGGAATCTTGCCAAATTGCAATCACTCCTTCTGTTTACAATGTATCATTACCTGGAGGAAAACAAAAGACTTTGGCCAGGATGTGGTAAAGTAGGTTTCAGTAATGTATGAATATTTATCAGCATCTAGCAACAATCAATAAGGAATTTGACTTGAGATCACTGTTTAACGATTGCCTGTAGGAGCTGCCCAGAGTGTCGAGTGAGGTCTGCCTTTTACGTGCCACACAAATACTGGGTTGAAGGACAAGCAAAGGCAAGCGTAATTACTGCCTTCAAAGAGAAATTCGGGTAAGGGTGTGATTCAATTTTTGTAGTGGCACTAATCATTGCAGCAGGTGCTGGCTGCACAAGCTGTCAATTCAAACTCAGACTAGTTCTAAAGCAAGTGTTCACTAAAGGGCACCCCACACAGGCGGCATGTGAAGAGCATCAAAACTCCCACACCCACTATTTTCAGTGAAAGCCCACACACCAGTGGCAAACTGTCCCAGATTATTGTGGGTTGATGTACACTATTGTCCTATTTTCCCCACTGTTAACTTGTGTCAAAAGCATAGAATACTGCCGTACCCCACTGTTTGGGTAGTCTTGCACTGAATTTGCAGGGCTCCAGGTGTGCATTAGGGGAGTCGTGAAGCGATGCTGCCTGTGTGTGGTGCCCCTGATGCTACTTTGACACTACATGCTGTAGTGATTCAAATCAGATTAAATTTTTTTCCTTGCATAGTTTTGCCTTTTAAGTGTAATACATTTAAATCAAGCAATGCATTCAGCATTGTGGTTTGACAAATGTATACCTGCAACTGAAGACCCTCTGTTCTGTCCAATTTTTCTAGTAAAAGAAGATGCAGTCACTATACACGTTACAGACGCTGTCCTTTCAAAACGGACTGCCTGTATCAGCATGATGAATCTGCATGCCACACATCACTTCTGGTAAATGTATAAAGTAACCAAGTGTTCTCACAACTGCTGGTATTCATGAGTTATGTTGAGGTTTACTTTCCCTTGCATGTTTCATGCTTGCAGTATCCTGAAGACGAAGATGATGATTATGATGACGACGACTACGGTGGTGTCAGTCTGCTAAATTTTTTGTTAGCCATGGCCCTTCTTAGTGTTAATGATGATGATGATGACGACAACTTTTGACTTCCCTTTCTACCAAACTGAGGAATACAACTTAGGAGCTTTTCTTTTTGTCAGTCCCTGAAACCACTAAATGGAGCCTCAACAAAATAATCACTGGCATTAACATCCTCTTTATCATTATTGAAACTGCATTTGAGTATCCGTGATCAAGGATATCAACTATGCAACAGAGTGCCAAGTGTGTTCACACATATTGAACTGTTCAGATTGCAGCAGATACTTTCACTAACGAGCGTTCCTTCCACCAGTGTTCCTTCCACTAGAGGACTGTATTTGTGGAAATTACCTACTCTAGTATGAGCATGTACACTTGGCAGTTTACAGCACATGGTTTTTCCTCTTTAAGCATGAAGGATTAGAAATGCAATATTTAGGTTGTTCTGTGGATTTCTCAGGTTTTTTTGGGTTTTTTTTATATATACATAAACTATCTCTGGGCCATAATGCTTCAAACATGCTGGTTTATTTCCCCTTAACCTTGAGTGCTCATTTATGACATCTTGTGTAAGAATGTGCACCCATTTGATATTTTAAAGGCTTGTGTATGGTTTTTACTGTCTAAAGATTAAAAAAATGTACTGTATCCTCTTCTTGCTAATGCCCATTTCTGATAACTGCCCTAATTCATATTGGTCCCCTTCCCTAGGTTGGCAAGAACACAATGTTAAGGTTTTATTTCTTTTTAAACGCGTCGTAGATGTACACAAAAAATAAATTGCGTCACACTTTCTCACTGAAAGGATGTGTCGTGCTTTTTATTGGTGGGTTTTTACAGTTGCACTATATTGGTAGGATTGAATCTGTACTTTTGAGAAGCAATGACCGATTCTACCACTAGGTGGCGATGAGGAGCGCGGGTTATTTTGGTCAACTGACACGAAGAAGAAATCAACAGTGTCTGTCACAGTGAACAGAACTGGCGCAATAAACAGACCCACTCGTCAGCGTATGGGTTGACAGAACTCAGACACGGTGCAAAATTTCACCCCGACGTGTGGTCACCGGGATGTCTCTAAACCGGTTTGACGGGCAGTCGAAGCTGCTGCTCCGGTCTCTGTCGTTCGGAGCGTCGGGCGCTTATAGAGCACTGAGCATCATCCATAGGCAACAGCGAGCTAACCCCGACATGTCACTGTGTGACTTCATAGAGACGCTATGCCAGGACGAAATAACCTGTCCAGAGACTGAAGTCCAGCCACTAACTGTGTAAGTGAAAGTTAGCCCCGACTCTGTGGCGCAAGTATTGCATACACAGTGGAAAGTAACCAAATACGTTAATTAAAGTATTATACTGAAGTACGTTTGTGAGGTATCTGTACTAGTATTTTAATTCATATTTTGACTTCACTAGATTTTATTCCAC